ACAGAGTACAAATTATTACTATCAATAATAATAATTGTGTTGTTAATTTTGAGTTATCTATTAATTATATTTATTATATTTAATTAATTAATATTTAATAATAGTATTTCTATATAATTCAGAGGATAGTGTTAGCATAAAATTGTGAATTGTACTGTATTTTTCGCCTTCTGGTGAATAAATATGCAAGAATGTTAGGAATAATAGACTGCTGACTTGCAGCACTCTCAGTATTTTGGTTGTTTACTGAGTGTTTCCTGCAAGATTATGCAGTATCCTTTTCTTAAATAATTGGATAACTGAGATTAATTTTTAGGTAAGAGCCAGTTATCCAAAATAATCTCTGTATGACTTATTACTAATAGGTCAAGATGCTAGCAGAAGATGTATGGATATTAATGCAAGTGTTCTATTTGCATTTATCTGGAGTTTGCTATTTAGAATGTCTCTTCCATGTCTTCCAGGATGGGAGAGTTATTTTGATAATTGGGCTTTAGCAAAGGAGTTGAAGTCTTTTGTTTCCTGGACTTCTTCATAATAGCCTGTATCTTCTCACACAATTAATTACATTGTGCTAAATGTGTCTCTCTCAGAAGATTTGGCACCCATAGGATTCAAATATGCAGTTGAATCATATAATCTGGGATGACAGCTCCCCTGATTTTGGAGTGAACGTAACAGGTCCTAGCTCTGTTCTGAATTATTCAAGGGCTTTAGAAGAAGTTTGAGAGGCTTGAAGGAGATATACCCCATCTCCAGAATTAAAAGTGGTCATTATTGCATGAAGTATCCAAGCCCAGACCTGCCATTTTGAATTTATTTACGTTGCAGTTCTGTTTGTACCATAACTCTGTAACTTCTAGCCCACAAGTTACAAAGTTTATGGCCTTACCTTCCATTTTGTCTCTGCTTTTCTGAGGCTTTTAACAAGTTTGTAGCACAAGACTAAGAGCCAAGTACATGGAGCCACTCTGAAAGATGTGGTTTTACCTCTCTAGTTCTGATGCTCGTAGTGGCATTTCATGTTGTCAAATTAATTTTACCATGTATTAGCTGAAAATACATGGAGATTTCACATTCTTACCAGTAGCTCTGTGGCGTTGCTACTTTTGTTAAGCAGCTTCTAAAATCTAAACCATATATGACATGGATTTTTGCTGAATATGCCTGTCAAATGAGAACAGTCCATTGTACGTGTTGGAGATAATCAAGTAATCTGTTTCTAATAATGTAAGTTGACAATGAGGATATTCATCCAATGCTGTTAATAGTTTTGCATTTGGCTGCATCTAAAAATAAATCTGTTTTGTTTCAAATCCTTTTACAGTAAAGACACTGAAGCCATACACGCGTATGTTAGACGGTGACTCACAGGGTATCCTTGCTCCCCTGGTGCAAAGTCAGAAACAAGTTCCTAACTGGTGACTGGTGTGCTGAGCAGCCCTTTGAAAGAAGATCGGTACCGTACCGTACTGTCAGAGGTGCAGGGAGACTAGTATGAGGTGACTAATGTATTCCCTGCCTGGGTGGAATCCTAATATGTTTATTACGTTTCCAGCTAGAGAGTCACATTTCCACTGAGTGATTCAGAAATACCCTGAACTATGAAACTGAGCCTTATGTCATCCAAATTGACTTGGTTGTGCAGGTTAGAAGAACCCCTATCTCTCTGTATTGGTGTAAATCAAGCACAGAATAGGATGGTCTGACCAAACCAGACCAAAGGAAGGGAACAAAAGTACAAGGACATAATTGAATCCCTTTGCCTCAGTCAGGTCAGAAGGAGATGGAGCCTCCTTATCCAACATCAGCGGAGCTTGGGCTCTAATGGAAAGGAAATAATGTGTCTAATTATCTTCTAATGCTGATTGTAGTGCATCTGCATGAAGTGAGTGAGTGTCATCACTCAGCATGGCATTTATGCACGTTCAGGCACCATTAGTTATACACTCATTAGCATCCGGACATGGGGAGAGTGAAAGGATGGAAACGTTGAAATGTAGCAAATCAATAAAATAGTGCTGAAATACTTGTTTCAGAAACTAAATACCCCTTTTCAGATGCTTGTCATTGTTCAGCAAACTCATGATTTTGTGTCACTGTAATAGGTTATAATACATCCTTCAATAAATAGCACAGATTCACATCAGGCTTCTGCTTGCTTAAGAATTACGAGGTAAAAAGCAGCAAATGCTACTAGGCAGTTAAACAAAAAACTGTATGAAAATAAATAGTTCTGCTTTCACTGCCACAAATTTGGCTGCTCTGAGTTGAGCTGAAGAAACAGAAACCTTCACTGAATGCTGTCCTTGTAGACGGGATGCTGAATAGAAAACATCAGTAGATCAGAGAGAAGTTGTTTCTTTAACTTTATAAAGAAACAATGAAAATCCCACATTATGTTGCTAGATTTGAAAACAGTTAGAGGGCTTCATTAAAATTTTTGCCAACAGAATTCGTAGCTTGAAACATCTATAGGATGGAAAACCATCCTATTTTTTCCTAAGTTCTGGTTCAAGTGATGTTTATTTAGAGAGTCTGGCTCGAACCGTCAGCGTGTGCCCCAGCAGACATGACAGTGAAGATGTACATGAAATACTGCATTCAGCTATCAGTGAAAAGATTTGATACTACTGATACAAGCTGATACCAACTGTCAGTGACTGCAAAGAGGTGGCTGAAAGTTATGCCTGTAGCTAAGCACCTGGTTGAACTGACTGGCAGAAAGATTGCATTGCCATGACAGTCCTGATAAGGCACCCAGCTCTGAGCATCTGGGTCCCAAGTGTAGTAGATTTTTGGCTCTGTGTATAAAGAAATTGTGGCATGGTCTATGTTTATCTTTGTATACTTAGTTGGTTATGATTAAAATTGAAGGGTATTTTCCAAACCAGGAACACACTTCCCCTTGAAAATGACAGCATATAACTGAATTCCACTAGCATCATGGCTGAAATGGTAGAGTCACAGAATAATCAGGGTTGGAAGGGACCTCTGGAGATCATCTTTGTCTAACCCTGCTGCCAAGGCAGGTTCATCTAGAGCCGATGGCGCAGGAACGCATCCAGGCGGGTTTTGAATATCACCAGAGAAGGAGACTCCACAACTTTCTGGGCAGCCTGTTCCAGTCCTCTGATATCCTCAAAGTAAAGGAGTTTTTCCTCAAGCACAGGTGGAACTTCCTGTGCTCTAGTTTGTGCCCGTTGCCCCTTGTCCTGTCACTGAGCAACACTGAAAAGAGGCTTGACACCCACCCTTTAGATATTTATAAGCATTGATGAGATCCCCTCTCAGTCTCCGCCAAGCTAAAGAAATCCAGCTCTCAGCCTTTCCTCGTAAGGGAGATGTCCCATTCCTCTAATCATCTTTGTAGCCCTCCTCTGGACTCTCTCCAGTAGTTCCCTGGGGCTCCCTGATTGGGTGTGCGGTGTGTTGGGTGTTCCCCAAGTGTGTCTGGCTTTAAAGGTCTACAATTTCCATTCAGATGCTGAAAAGCTTTCCCTAGTGTCTGAAAACTCCAAGCAGACCTGCTTGTGCTGTGTCGACCCTCTTCCTGTCTGCCTCACCAGATTACAGAATGGTTTGGGGTGGAAGGGACCTTAAAAATCATCCAATTCCAACTCCCTGCCATGGGCAGGGACACCTTCCACTAGACCAGGTTGCTCCAAGCCTCATCCAGCCTGGCCCTGGAAACTCCCAGGACATCCACAGCTTCTCTGGGCAACCTGTGCCAGTGCCTCTCCGACCAAGGTCACGGTAGAATGTTGTGCTGCTCGTTTTCTCTAAGCCATTAAAACCCAAACGCTGGTGCAGTGCCGAACTTCTCAGTGACACTGGTGCCTGCTTTGGGATCGGGCTCTAGAGACTCTGTTTCCCATCCCCTTTCCCACTGGTATTAAACAGGAGTGGTGTGGGAAAAGTCTTACCTTCAAAGAGCTTTATCATCCAAAGAATTATCTATATTGTTTCATATAAATTGAGACTAACGCTTAGTGGAATTTCCCAGGGTTTTGATAGGAGTTTTGTTTACTATATTACATGTTTGTGGTATTTATGAATATGTTCATAAATACATCTCATTTACCACAAGGTTTCTTCTCTTAGACAAACACGGTTTTGCTGCCTGAGAAGCTATTCCCCTGGTGCCTACACCATGCTGACACCATTAATCCCACCGTCTTCCTTAATGCACGTCCTGCCAGCACTTTCCAGCCACCTTAGAACCTCTCCTCACCTCATCTGTCACTTCACTTATAATCAAAATATGATCTCGTGTACTGTTATAACCTTAGCCTTCCACGCCTGTATTTAAACATTCAGACAACCTTTATGCTTTGTCACAGGCTGCTCCTCATGCTTGAGGGCCACCCCACAGAGCCACAATGCCATCACCGTTATTAATAGTTCTTAAGATGGCTTTATCAACAGTTTTTATTTCAAGGGCTACCTCACCATTGTTCTTCAAAGCTCTTCATAAAACTCTTTGTTTCAGTGTCCATAAAATGAAAGAACTCATGAGCAGGGGAGCTGCTGCTTTATTGAGGCTATGGTCAGTCGGGCTGACTGATGTTTTCTGATCATTCCATGAATTTGTCTAGCTGTGTCCTTACATAGTTCCTAATTTCTCTAAGGTAAAATGATTTTTTAGTTCTTTTTTTGTTTCAAATATATTCTTCCAATAAACTACAGGTAAAGTATTTTCATGAAATTCCTGTTTACAAATTATTTTTTTTAATCCTCCCTTCTCTTTACAGAGACATCAGCAAGAATCAAATATCTGACATTGCGCCTGATGCATTCAAAGGCTTGAAATCTCTCATTTCATTGTAAGTAGAACTGAATGGGCATTTGGGGAGAGCTGGCCTGTGAGAGACATAAAAATGATAATGTGCTGTCTGGGAGAACTTGTGTTTCTGTGTGCAGTTGCCAGCTTGCGTGAAGCATCTAATCTTTTGTAAATGAAAAATTGGTCATGAAGGTTAGCAGGAGGAGCTGTTTACACATCTCCACTAAGTCCTTTTGTAGATGAACGCCCCCAAGGTTACTCACTTGTTCACTCCTTCAGAGCTCGCGCGTTAGTTGTTCTGCTGTACACGTGCACCTGCAGGCTAGTCTATGCCCCAAAATTCATCGTGGCACACAAAAAACCTTGGCGTAGCTCAGACGCTGTTCTGTGGGGTTAATCAGGGGGGGCTTGGGTGAAACACTTCCCTACTGAATTTTACTTCTGTATTAAAGAACTGAGATTGCACTCTCTTGTGTGTTTTTTTGTTTATTTGTTTTTTGGGGTTTTTTATAACTAATGAGGGAAGAACCTGAAGTCTTAAGAATATGTTTACATTTCTTAGCTGCAATTACTAGTTTATTAAACTGGAAGGAGACTAAAATATGACTTCACACAGCAGATGAAAGGAAGGTAGGATCTCTTGACAACCATTCATTTCTCTTTATAGAAGACAGAAACTGTTTTAGCACCAAGTTGAATTTAAATGCAGCTATATTTCAGCCCAGCTACCCACAGAACTATTAAAACACTGGAGCTTTTAATGGGTAAAAAGAGAAATACAAGGTCAGAAGCTGCAGATGGAGAATGAAGTAGAATGGAGTGTTAGAAAGAGTTCCAGGTTGAGAGGAGAGGGTAAGCTCAACTGGAATAATAGTTACCTGCGTTAATTTTAGAGTCAGTTTTAAAACATTAGCTCATTAATATCCATATAAATGGTTTGGCTCATTAATGTTCGTATAACATGGTTTGATTTTAAGAGTGTATTTTATTTTTAAAAGCTGACATATTTTATTCTCTGAATGCTGAATAATTCTAACAACCTATGTAACTTGTTGACTGGTGCTAATATGAGAAGGCTTTTCAGTGCTAAACTTAAAAATTTCAGTAAACTTCTGAGCCAGAATGCAGGAGGATGGGCCCTTTTTTTGTGCCCTGAATGCAGCTGGGAGAATGCCAGAAATATATATTAAGTGTTGCTAGCCTTTCTTGAATAGTTAGGGCAGTGTTATTTAACATGCTGTGGAAATGGTCAAATCCCTCAGTAGTGTCTGGAAACGATTCCATAAGAGAATGACATTTACTGAACACTTTGGTTTTGGCTTAGTATGAAGCTACTGCTGCTGCTGCAATGCTACAGCTTTCTGCTCTTGGCAAACCTCCTGGCTAGAAGCAGGCTGGACAGCCAAGACATTTCTACTGGGGTTGCCTTCCCACCTCAGAAGTTATTCAGCTTTAGCTGTAGCTAATTCAGATACCCCCAGGTGGCTTCAGGACTGGGACAGAACACATCAGAGGGGACAGAGAGGAAATGAGAATGTAAACTGGGCAGGAATTTATAGTGTTTTGACTTGCACACAGAGGCAAGTGAAATGACTGTGTATTCTCTGCCCAGTCATCCAAAATGATAGTTTAAGTAAGTGATGTTTAAATATGTTTATATCCAAGTGGGTAAAGTCGTGCTTAAGTTAATGCTGGGAGGTTACAAGGGGGAAGAGAGAGGGCAGAGACATGCCATGCAGCACATAAAGGGCTGTACTAAGGACCTGCCTCTGAGCAGCCTTTCCTTTGTTCAGCATTTGTCTTTCCCTCAATTTCCTTCTGTTTGCAGCCACACGAACCGTTGTAACACAGAGTCTGTTTCTCCTCTCTTCGGCAAACTGGTTTTTAGGATAGGATTGACTCCAGCCTTGCAATTGTCAACCTCCTTCTCCAAGTTCGGTTGTCCATGTGCTGCCATTGACTTGGACTTTGTTTTGAGCCGTTTTACTCTCGCTGTTCAGTGCAGGGAGGTCTTACCCACGTTTTCCCTCTGGCTGATAGGCAGGAGGTAGTTCCCTGACTGTCCCCCAGACCTCTGGCAGGTTCCTCCCTGCTGGTCACGTACGTAGCGGTTTTGGTTTCTGAGCCCTGGATGTCTTCATGGAGCTGTTCTGCAGATCATGTGGGTTGCGCTGAGGAGACCTCCCCAGGTTTCTACTTCTGAGAAGCAGAGGATCTTTCGTCTGACCTCTGCTATAGCCAGCAGCCTGGTTGTGTCGGGCGCAGAGAGTGCAGGAGCAGACGGCTCCTGTGAAGGGCCAGGGCTCCCAGTGAAACTGCCGAAGGAAGGAACAAGGAGGTAGAAATGGAGAGAGACAGGTTGCTTACTTGCGTTTTCTCTTTTAAGTGGCTTGGTCTTTTTGGTGCCTGAGGCCCCGGTAACCTCAGTCAGCTGCGTGCCCTGAAGGAACACTGCTCTGCACAGATGCCTCAGCTCAGCCGAGAGTGACTTTCATTTCTCGTGTATGTAAGTCAGATGTGATCGGTGGCATGCATTCTGATGAGACACCGGCGAGGTTTAATCTGTGCACAGAGCAGCTGGACTTTTCAACTAGCTGAGTTAAAACAAGAATAAAGGAGGGGAAAATATTAATGCACAAATGAAAGTAAGCAACTTGGTTTCCATTAAAAGTGAACTTCTGCTGTACTGCCTAGAATCCTTGCTTTTTCACCCCTGCATTATTCCCATTTTCTGCTCCTCCCTTTGCTCCCTGCTTGCATGCAATTGCAGTGCTCCCTATGGGTCCGGGAGAGTGAAAGTGCTTCTCTGGAAGACAGCCAACATTGTTAGGCTGGCTGGCTAATGGAGGCCTATATATAGTGGGTTGCTACTCTGCTCTCTCCTGAAGTTAGCTTAGGTTAGTGTTTCCAGGCAGAACTGCTTCTCAGAGTGCTCTGCCTATTGTACCTGTGTAGAGATAATGGTGTATTACAGTTTTCAAAACACAGGAATGTTTATTACAGAAGCAGTTGCCCCTAAGATGTATCAAACTTAAATCTTTCAGAAGTGCTAAGTGATCCACATGCTAGCAGGTCATAAGTTATATTTTAAATCTATATGTTTTCTCTAACAATAAATCCTCCTATGGGAGTCAGATAGTAAAAAAATCTTATCACTTTAAATAAGCTGCTTCTGCCTTATGCTTTCTCTGCATTTAGCAAAAGAAAGGCAAGCTTGTTCTCATAAGGACTCAAGACTTCTCCATTCCTCACACACAAGAAAAAAAGATTGTTTTCTCCATGCCCATTTTTCAGTGGGATTTTGTTCCCTATTCATATAATGACTGTGTGGAATGAGGAATTTCTACTCCATTTTTCTTAGAAATACTTGCACATGTACATAACTCTTTTTTTTCCTGGTTGTGGCAACAATTAGGGAACCAGAATCATTATTCTTTAAGAACATTTTCTTCTTCTTCCCAGGGTTTTCTGGCTTTTCCTTTTCCTTTTGTGTCACATGCAGGCGATACTGTGGGTCACTGGTCAGCTCTGTGGATTTAAATCTGTTACAATAGCTGAGTTCCCTTTCAATAGGGTTTAGATCCTTAGCATATTTTGGGTATGAACCAAAAATTTCAAACCTTTTTATGGATAAAACTGAAGGTACAGTAAGATCAGCCTCTGGTTTTGAGAAGAGAGTTGTGGAGAGCTTGCTATAAAGCCATGGTAGAGGATGGAGGGTGTTGTGGGTCAAGGCTTGGGAAAAAGGGTCTTTAGTCTTAAAGATGCTACTGTGGGATTTGGGAGGAAGGAGTTACATTGCATAATTTCAGTGACAGCTGTTGGAGAAACAAACTGCTTGTCTATGCCAAAGTACTCCCTCTTAAAAAAGGGCAAGTATTTCTTTGTCTCAAAGAGATGATACAAGGGTATATATGTTGAAGGCTGTGAGATGTGGTGATACTGCAGTACTTGGGACCATATGAAATATCCAAGATGAGAAACGAATAATTAGAATTATTTGAATCTAAAAAACCCAGTAAGCAGGACAGATGTGAGCTGTGCTAATGGACCCCTGGACTTTGTCTTGGAGGGATGAGTCTTGCCATCCAATACTTGTTTCCATAGGAACTTGGGAGCTAATAGTACCGTTGCATTGAGAAGAGTGGCAAAATGGGTTGATTGCAGAAGAATGTGTTATCTTAATTTTAAGCTGTAGAGAAAAGCTCTATTGTTAGTATATTGTATGTGCGTTACATCGTTAGAGTTGCACTTGGCTGGAGTTGGAGTGGTTAATAACCACGCAGAGCAAGGGGGCTACGTTATGAACAGTTTCATGTTTCAAGATTGCTGGATGCACTTTCTGAAGTAAATTAATTTTTCATTTAATCAACTCAAAAATCTGTCTAATATCAGTGGGAGGATTGTATCAGCATTGGGTTATTGTTAATAGTGTTGAAGATAAATGTTATTCTTGGGGGTCAGTAAACTTCCCACAAGTGTACCACAAGTGTCCAAGTGTACCTTTGGACAGCCATATCCACACCGTCTGGGGGCATTTTATGAGATATGACAAAATAGTCTAAGCCTTCAGTGTGTTCGACTGAATGAATAAATTTTGGACTACTGCAGAGGGAGAATTCCTTTGCTTTTGTTCATATACTGAATTAAGCTAGTGAACAATTTGAAAGCTTAGATCAGCCTGGGCACAAAGACAAAAGACAGCTTAGATTTTGACATAGCAGTCCCATTTTGACCATCATCTCCTGGGTGATGATGTATGTCGTGTCATTCATAGTGATTTGAAATCTGCAATAAAACACTGTCTTATTGCAGTAACTGCCAAACTTATTTTAAGGTAACAAATTGCTTTGGATAGTTCTACTGTGATTTATTTAGCCTAACTTGTTCTGAAGAAATATGAAATAGTGAAGGAAAAAAAAATTGCATGTCTAAGTTTCTTTCAGATATTAGAAATTTATTGCTGTTTTTATCCCTATCAATTCCTCCTCTTTTGAAAACTTGAATTCTTATTGAGCCTGTGCCATTGTACTTAGCTTGGGAAATATAATTCTTCTTAGCAAGAATTGTTTTCACAGTCTGAAGGAAAGTTTTAAGTATTCTGAGGACTGAAAAAGACATTGCATAAAGTCAAAATCTGACACTTCTGTAAAAATGTTTCAGCCAAGCCAAAATAAAGGAACACTTAGCTGGAAACCATATGGTCCAGAGTAAGGGATTCTGTGCTAGGCTTTCATACCCCCAAAAAGTTCTGTGTCACCTTTCAGGGAAAAATCTCATATTCTGGGATCTGACAATGAAACAGCTAAATTGCAACTACTTTTGCAAGTGAGGTAGGCTGAGGAACCTTAAAATAAAGACAACACAGCAATTATTGCTTCACACCCTCAGAAGGTGGTATGCTAGACTTCAGTGCATATGAAAGGCCATGTGTTGATAGCCTTTACAAATTCTTTCATTTTAAAATTGTTCAAGAGGTCAAAATGTCTAGAGATTTTGAAGAGTCGGTGGGACACATGTTTTGAGACCCTACCACTGTAGGTTTGTTACATGCTTAATTACATTCTCCATTCTCACCCAAGATAACATATGTGTTACTGTGTGAGCTTCCAATGCTTTCTTTGTCTGGTATGTCCTAAGCTTTTGGATGAATCTATGCAGTGACTATTTTCACTCTTTAAACTTTATTTCTAACTACTTAGAACATCAGTTGGATTAATCTGCAAAGCCTGAAGTTTAGTAGGAACAAGAACCTAACCAATATTCGTATTTGTCGGTATGAGTATGCTTTCCTGTCTTAAACAGAAGAAAATGAGGGCTCTGAGGAAAGCAGAAGTTTCTGTGCTGTCTATTAGTGTAAATGGAAATAGGGAAAACAAGAAATGAGATGCAATGCATTATGTATCTCCCCTCCTCTCTGCTTCTTTCTGGAGGACCGTTTGACTTCAGCTCTGGCATGGCAGGCAGACAATGGCATTAGCTAATTTGGCTCTGTGTAGTGCTGAACATGAATATGAATTAGGGACAAGTGCCTGAGCTCTCATACTGACTTTTGTTTAGCTGTTAATTTGTTCAAACGTTAATGTGCCACATGCACATAAGCCCAATTAGGTTTGAAAATGCTTCTTTTCTTTTTGTGGCTGCTAAAAATTGAAGCTTTGTTTTATCTTATAAGCTACATTAATTAGTTTTATTTCACTCAAAATAATAAAGGGGATGTATAAACACATCCAAGGTTTCAGATTCAGTGGAACACTGCGCTATGACCTTCTGACTCTTAAATTAAAAGTAAATGAGAAATTACTCTCATAAGAGTCTTACTTTGATATTTGCATTTAGTAGTGCCATAACTAGCAACTGCTCTGGGTATGAGTGTTGGGATTTCTGTAAGGTCTTACTTTACCTAAGAGGTTTTGCCTCTACAGCCAGAATACCCGCTAGTCCTGAGTTGGGAATTTTTTTACTTCTTTCCATGGGCATTTTTCTGAAAACTTTCTTATATGGTATAGTACTATGCACTACTGATCAGCATTGATGACCCTGCTTCTTCACAGAACTAAGGAGGATGTTCATCTAACATCACAGAGCTTATCATCTAAGCTTTGTATGCAGATGATGCGCCTGCTAAGGAAATGTTGTTCATGAAATGGAAATATACTGGATTCTGTGGGCATTCACTTAATATTTTAACCTTTTATAAATCTTTTATTTGCAAAGGTTTTGCTTTTGCTTCCTGGTACAAGTGCTCCCATCAGTTACTCTGTTCAGAAAGAAGTCTGAGGCAACCATTTGGGTGGTGTATTAGAGCCCAGTGAAATTCCAGTGATGGGTATTATCTCATATTTTGAAACTACTATCTGAATGGACCTGCTAGACATTTCGAAGTTCAGCCATCCTTTCTGTCTAGTTTTGGGTAGAGTATAAAAACCTATATATGTTGCATGAAATTTTGTTGAAGTAGGAAATTGTGTGTGTCTTCTGTGGCTGAAATAGGAAACAAGTAGAAAAATTTAGAGGTACTAGCATTCATTACTCACAAAACCCCACTAACTGTAACAGCACATTAAAAGCCAATCTCCTGACTCCACAATGGATAAATAGAAGTTATGTTACATTTGTTTGGTGAAAACATAATGCTAGATGGACGTTAGTTTCTTGGGAAGCTGGTCGCTTCCTGATAAACTATAAAAGCAATGAAAAATGAAGTTTTGAGTTTAGATTTTCATATCAAAATGGTGTTATTTTATTTAGATTCATTTTATTTAGGCTCAGAAATGAGCTGGTCTGGAATCTCTCCCACAGAGGTGATATACTTCCAATGACTGATGAAGAATAAACTGAAGTGACGATACTCTGGGAAGGCCAGAGGGTATTGTAAATGGTCCGTCATGCTGTGTGTTTGTTTTTCAGTATGTTCAACTCCCCATAATATTTTAAATGCTGAAAGACAGGGTAAGTCAGGATTTCAGCCAGCATTCAAGCCTCACATGGGTGCTTGATTCATCGCTAGCATGTTATTCCACATTAAAAAGTTAGGGAATTAACCAGTTGAGTGACACAAGAGCAACAAAGTTTTGGCATGAGCTGGTTTATAACCATTTACCATGTCCTGTGAAGCCTAATCTTCTTACCTTTCACCAGGACCCATATAAGCTCCTTAGTCACTTTCTGGTTTTGACAGATTTTATTAACTTGCAGAAATGACATGAGTAAATACTTTAGCCGTGATTGAAATTCAGGTGTTCCTGTCACATATGATTTTGCTCGGGTCCCTAGGTAACGCATCTTAGCATAATGGTGGTTTGGTCTGTTTGTCGCTTTAGTACAGTTTCTGAGAATGCTGTATGTGCATTTTTCCATTCAAGAAGGAAATATTTTTAATATTAAAACTTAATCATGGATATCAGGTCATGTATATTTGTGGTTGAATAAATAGATACAGTGTTTCTCATTTGTGTTATTAAATCTTTATTGATTTTTGTAACTAAACTATACCTAAATAATTTTTGATTTTCTGAAATATCTGTCTATTTCAAGTTCAGGCTAAATTTCTTTGTATTAGCTAGTTGAAATCGTAACAGCAGCTGGTGAAGCCATACAGTTTTGTCCAATGATGCCTGTGTCACTTTTCATGCCAATTATTGTATCTTAAGAGATCCAGTCACATGAAATTTTATCTACAACCAGATTGTGCTCTCTGGCTTTTAAATTCAGTATCCCTGAGCAGAATTCTAGGTTTTTGCATCAGACAATGTGTCTTTCAGTGGTTAAAATGTGTCTAAAAAGGGTGGGAAAAAAATCCCTCAATAAAAGGAAAAATATTTCAGATACAGTTTTTGGATGTTGTCCAGTTTCTACATTAAAAATGCTTTCCAACACCAGACGAAGCCTGAATCATAACGACTCATTTAATACCATGTGCGCTCCGAAAAGAAAATGAGATCAGTAGTTAAATGAAATGCCCACAGATCCTGGGCATGGTGCACAAGATCAATAAAGATGGTAATGCAGAGATGTGGGAGGACACTAAACTGGTCTGTTACTTAAGATTTATTTTGTCTTCCTGTGTCTTTCAGAGTGCTCTATGGAAACAAGATCACAGAGATTCCCCAGGGCCTTTTTGATGATCTTGTGTCTCTGCAGCTGCTGTGAGTATGATCCCTTCCTCTTCTTTATTTTACAGACTGGCTAGATTTACTGTTTTTTTCATCTTCTGGCATTAATATAATCACCTTTTCCACTGAAAACTCACTGGGACGTGCTAGTCTGCTGTTTCTGTGTCAAGCAAGAGGGAGGCAAGGGCTGGAAAAAAAAAAAAAAAAGGAAGGTGCCAACAGTTTTATAGCAGAGTGTGTATAATGGGTGATAGACACAGAGGATTGAAGTGTGGGGAGGAAATGAGAGACTCAGTGAAGTTCAAGAAAGGAAATTTGGTCACCGGTTGAAGTGCGGGTGGGGATGCCATCTGATTGTTTTTACATATTTAGCAATTGTGCTTGAATCTCTGGATCCTGGAGATGCAAGCTAAATGGCAATATGAAAGATCTTATTGCTGCAAGCCATGCCTAGTTCCATAGTCTTAATATGCTAAATGTGGCTTAGTTGCAAGAAAAAATATTTCAGAATATATTGTGTATTCGAGTATTTTATGCCATGTGGAATTTACCACACAGTCATGGTCAGGGGTAAGATACATATCATAGAGTCGTCAGTATTTCTTATTGTAGCATGAAACATTTCCTAGGCCAAATGTGAAACTGGAAATTTCGCTTACTCTTGTCTCCATAATCACACTGGAAACCAGTAACTCCTTCAAAGACAAGGAAATCAGCTGCTGTTTCAGCCAGTCAGTAAAGGCAGCAGAAGGGGTCTGATATGTATTTCTAACGTTCTGGTTACCATCATGGATGATGCATTCAGAAGTGAAGGTGATATGTGATAAATTAATCAATTCCGGTTGATATCACACGCAACCCTCCACCCCCAAACAATAGATTATATAAAATAACGAGAAATTAATATCCAAGAGTTCATGTTTACCACGGAATGTGTCACTGACTGCCGTGTTTGCTGCTTTTATATGCTATATAAAAATCAGCATAGATTTAGATCAGACATCCCTGAGCAAAGCCAAAGAACTAAACTATGAAGTTGCTCTGTGTGTTAGGTGAAGGACTATTCAGACGCATGATTTATCCAGAAGATTTTGATTGTAAACGTAGATCAGCCTATTTTAGAGAAGAACAGGCAGATACGGTTTGGTTGTGGCAGTCCTTGAGCTGCGACAGTGGGAAGCTGTTAATCTCTGCACTCAGCCAATTAGTTGGTCTTCACGTTGTGCACACAGTGTTTCTGGCAGCTGCTCTCCTCTCTCGTGCCCCATACCTGACAAGTTCGTTACTACCTCAGTGTCTTCCTGGCCGGCCTGTGCAGTAAGGAAGGACTGTGTTGTTGGAGGGGAGGTAGTTTGCTAGGTGTGAGAACAGCTACCATGAAAGTGCTTGGAAGCTGGGACTGGGTACGTGTTGAAACAACCCGCGTGTGAACCCTTGTCAGACTCAGGCTGTGATTGGCACAGTGAAATCGCTGCAAACAAAGGAGAGCTAAAACTTAACTTGTCACTTTAGCCTCTGAGAAAGAAACAATATTAAAAAAACAAGAGCTTTATCATACCCCTCACCCCCAGAATTTTATGATTACAAGTTCGAGGAGATACACAGTTGCTCTGTCTAACCCAGGACATTTTACGGGTAGGATCTTTCCTAGTAGAAAAAAAAATAAAATCACTCAACATTTGGCTCACAGTGTCCTATAAAAATGTGGGTCTAGAACTTTTGCATAAAGCATTAAGCATGTTTCAACGCCTTTATAATATAGTCCTTGTGTGCATGTAGTGCAGGCTTTCAATGAATTACATATTTAAGCCCAGATGCAGTAATTCTCCAGTCTGAATTAGCTCAAGTGATGCCAGAGAACCATTAAAGGGTGTTGTACCTCGATCATTTAAACACTGTCAAGCTGGGAGGATGCAAGTAGGTTGCCCTGTGATGAGATTCCCAGAGCATTGTGGCTCTGGAGCCTTTCAGGGTCTTCTTGAAAGTGTTTGACTTTAAAGTAAGTCTTGGCAAAGAGAACATTAATCATGTTTTAAATGCAAAAAAATGTCTGCACACTTTTCAGATCATGGCTTTGAAGCAGCTATTATGGGATTGCTTGTAGCATTTTAATGGATATGAAAAAAAGAATGGCATTTGTTGGTTTTAGACCTGCTGTTGAGCAGTTGGAAGAGTGCCCTATGATTAGATCTAATTTAGTGTTCAGTGGGCTCTAGATTGAATTTCTTCTTATTAGTCTGGAGACACACTGATAAGAACGGTCTGATTAAGGTATCCTGGTAGCCAGTATAATTTCCTAAGCTTGAGCTGGAGCATTTTGGAAAATATACTGCCGTTATGGTAAAGCAGTACACAGTCAGAAAAAGGGAGTCGTTGTGGGTCCTGTATGAAATCAATGAGATTTTATTTACAAGGAAAAAATAATTACAGTGAAATTGTGGAGCGGATTATATTGTTATTTATTGTTTTGGATAAGTCTCATCAGAGCTTCTTAGAAACTACACTATTTTTCTGTTTAAATATACTGTCACAATATAGGCCCAGATTATTCCACTTCTCTTCTGGCAGAATAGTTTTGTGTGCCTCAGATCTGCAGACAGCACCACTGGTGTCAGAAACACTGCAGCTGGGTAAAGTAACGCTCAGCTCAGGCATGACAGCCTCTTAAACTGCCCCATTTGACTCCGGTGTATGGGAAGCAGGGAATTCAGAATAAGTTTTGGACCACCTGGCTAGCATTAGAATTCTTTATTTCTGCCATAGAAGACAGAGGTAGGTAAGCCAATCTTGTATTGTATTTGGCAAGAGAATAACTGGGTATGGTTAGATAATAAGGGGTTTTTCTGTTGTGTGGGTTTTTTAATACCCTATTGGTTTAATTTAAAATGTTGTTTCTGGAGGCTTCATTATAATTAGGCATCTTAAGTAGTTAACATTCCCCATATAAATAATCACAATTGGATTTCTGTTAAATTGCTGATTTCACAAATCTTACATCTTCGTAAATTTGCAGTTGTAACCAACACAGCAGCAAACATTACTGTGCATATCCAACTACATGTCTGTTCCGTGAAACAGGAGCTTTTCTTGGACTATGACATTCTCCTTATCCTGTTCGAAGGTTCCAGGAGAGAGGATGCTAGAAAGCTACTGAAGATACTGTACCCTGTCCTCATACATTCTTCTTTTCAGCAGGCTGGATCAAGTCTCCTCTAAGAATTCCAAGTCCATTTGGATTTTAGACCGCTATATTGTTTTCCAGAAAGGGATAACTGGAGTCTGATTTTTCTTTTTTCTTTTTTTTTTTTTAAACACTAAACTGAACCTTTCATTTCACTGGGGCAACAGTCCACGCTGTGACTTAGTGTTTGACTAGTTATCATTTTTTGTGTAATGTTCATATGAATAAAAAAAAAAATGGAAAGGGTTTCAGTTAAAGGTGGAAGCTCTCGAGTAACCGTTAGCTGTGGCCAGATTGAACCCCTGTGCCGCAGGTCTTAAACTAACCTTGGTCTGTTAGGAACTGGAATATATTTAAATATCCTTCTCACCTGTCTTTCAGTTTTCCTGGAATGTGGACAAGCTCTTTCTGGAGCCCTTGAGTTTGCCAGACTGTCTGCCAGTCACTGCATAGGGTGCAGGAGATAATGCTGCAGCTCTTTCATTTTCAGCAGCCCTGTGACAGATAAACCTGACGGTCGCTGTGCTTGCTCCCAGATGAGCAGATGCGCAGAGCCAGTCTGCAGTGAGGCAAGTGGCTCAAGCCAGTGAGCTGTGGATAACGGGCACCAAGTTTGTTAACCATATTGTTCATATTTTTTCATTTTTCATAAAATTTTTTCATACGCTTTCCTCTCTGCAACCATATTAAAAGAAACATTCTGGGAGCCTTTTTATTACAGTTACGCACTGTGTGCTTCACAGTGCTCTATTTTCTGGAACAAGAAGGTATCATAAAATCTCTACTGTTTAAAGAGATTGTATAGCAAAATAGTATAGGGGGATGAAATCTCATTTTTCAAATGTCTGGCAAGTATCCGTTTTCAATAAATCCTTTTCCTTGAGGAAATTTACTTTGCATAGTTACTAATCATACAAGTGCTCAGGCATGTTGTGATCCTAAATCTTATGGTTGAGATCCCAGGGCTTGCTGGGCAAGAAAGAATCCCTATAGTGAACTCTGTTTTGATGTTGCTAGAAGTAGATATACTCCCGGGGTACATATATATTGAAATCAGAGGTTTGTTGTATCACGCTCTCATAAAACAAAGCCAAAAGCTGACAGCCTTCTCCTTCTAATGTCTGATCATTAGGGAAAACTCAACATAGTCACTGGAAAAGACCAATAACCATATTGGTGCCTGGAGTTTGACATACTGACAGATAAAGTAACTACAAAAGTGGTGAAAAATTAGACCTCCCGATCCAGTCATCTAACCTGTGTTAAAATTGGAACTAGATCTAATATTTACAACTTCAACTGACCTTTATTTAAAATAGACTTGTACAAAGTGACAAGTTGCGTGTGTACTTTCAGAAGTTGCTGTTATCAGTCTTCCCAAAATTCAGCCAGTCAAATTTTGCTTTGAATGACTCTCATTTTTAACCTGCTTTTTATGCTGTTTCTCCTTGGATGAATAGTGAGATACTTGGTAATCCCATAGCTTTTCTGGTGAGGTTGCTTGGAAAGTATCTTCATGGCAAATTTGCCAAGTTTGAAGTGCTTGTGTTGATTCGTAATTGTAATTGAATCCCAGTACTTAGGAGCTTAAAATAGGATCTACCAAATATTTATTGTATACTTTTGGAGCTTGTTAGAAGCTCAAAGAAAATACAGTTTAGCATAAACTTGTAAGAAGTATTTTAAAAAAAATACAAAATTACTCTAAAGAATGTACATCAATTCCAGTATTTCATATTGTGTACATTACATTGTTATGTACTTTAGTATCATTAAACTGATGCAAACAGCATATAAATGCCAGAATAAAGAAATTACAGTTTTCCATTTCCAAGTCCTTTATAGCACAGTA